GATGACCTTTAGGGAGGAGTCTTGAGCACTTTGTGCGACCCGACGAACATCCGCGTATGATGACGTGCAAGACTCGGCAAGATCCAAGAGCAGGCGCCGGTCCAGCTCACTGCTGGTGCGATACGCCGAGTTGTATTTGACACGCTGGAGCTGGTACGCATCCGCACGCTTGATCAACAGTGGCCGAGGATAAACCTTTCGCAGACCCGAAATCTTGAAGGGGGAAATATCTGCCTTGTACAAGCGAGTCAAACGCTCCAAGGGATGAGCAGAACGTTCAATTCCGACGTCAGTAATCCACGTCCTGTATGCGCTATACAGGGCCGTGAAGCACGCAACGTCATCCTGCTGGTTTGCGTTCAAGAAGGAATGGGTTTGCGATAGTGTCCTACCCACCTCCTCGCGAAGATCGTGCACGCGATGATAGAGAGGATCATCCGTGGTCAATACGTATCCAGCGGGATACCGGAATGTGCGCTTGAGTTCATCATCGTCGGCGATCTCAGCCAGCGGGTCATTGTCCTCTTCCATGATTGTGTCACCGGCGGCATCGGTATCCTGGTTACCGCTGGAGCCAGTTGCTTCTCCTGACGCACGGACAGGGTCGAAAAGGGTTGAGACGCCCGAGATCAAAAGACGAAGTGCTGTCAAGCTCCGCGACAACTCATCTGACCACTCTTTGTTCTTTCCCTTTCTGCTAACCGGAGGATCGTCACTCATGAGCTGCATGAGTCTCTCCGTGGCACCACGAGCCTCGCTCTCAAACAGCTCCACAGCAAAAGCAACTTCGGCGGGAGACGGCCGGTGCCACTTGATGGTGAGTTCAGATGGCTCAGTCGTACGGCCCCAGTCGCTGACGTCGATGCCGCGAGCAATTACATCGGGCTCATACAGAGCATTATCGATTGGGTAGGTGTGGGTAAGGTTGAGCAGTAAATGATGGACGTAATTGGAGATGTGAATGGTGGGAAGACCACGGCATTTTTCTTGCATGTACTTGGCGATTCCGAAAAGCTCGTCCTTGTATTTGAGAACCTCACTGCCGACGTGGACCACGCACATGCTGAGCATGCTCACATGCCAGACCAACGCTCTGTCCCTGGGAAGCACTTCGGTGCCACTGCTTCGATCTGAAGCAGCACCGTTGTAGTCGATCTCATTGCGAATGTTGACAATCAGCATGGGAATGAAGACCTTGAGCGTCTTTTCCGGGTTGACCTTGCACAAGGCATTGCAAATCCACGCCATGGCATCCCGAGCTTGATGCACTACATGAGTCGACACAAAGTTTGCCAGCTTCTCCAACGCCGAGTCAAAGAGCTGAGGAGACAGCGATGCGAACAAAGGCGTGAGTGCAGCAGGGAGCGTGTTGATCACGTTGTCCTCTGGGGAGCCTGTTCGTAGATGGCTCGCGTCTGGAAGGTTTTCTAGCAGGGCAAAAACCTTGCCTAGCAAAGCCATGACAAACTCTCCAAGACCAGCGGTGGAGGATCGAAGGATGTTTGCTTCGTCTTCGTCACTAAGTTCGTCGTTGTAGTTGATCTTGACATCTTGCCCCTCGCGCTCCATTCTCTCCATTTCCCCCTGAACCCAGTTCATGGCAAGGCTCGTGTCATGAATGTCGTTATTCTCATCGACAAGCGGGACAAAAGGGATGCTGTATGCCACACTTTGGATGAAGTTCAACGTGTACTGTGTTTTATTGAGATCGTTGGCATCAATACCGGGAAGGGCTAAAGCCAGTAGAGCAGTGATATGGCAGCGGTACCCCTTTTGCTTCGACATGATGTTGGCAATCATTTGAAGACTGCAGAGACTTGAAGTCGTTCGGTGCACTTCTACAAGCCCTTGCAAACTCGGGTAGAATCGCTGCAGGGCACCGGGAAGCATCAGGTCTGGCTCGAGGTATGCGAGTCCTTGCAGGGCAGTGTAGTAGTAGTTGACGACCTTTGAGCTCTTGGAGAAGAGGCCCATGAAGGTGACCTCTCTGAGGGAGAGCACAAATCGCTTCTTCAGGTCGTCGTTTATCCGACGGTCTGCGGGGATATCGAGCTCACCGCTCTGCTCACGATTCCAGCGTGAAACAAAAATATCGGTCAAGAAGAAAGTCAATTGGGCGAGAAACATAGACCACGCTCCTTGGTTCGAAGGATGGAAGAAGGTGTCTATTGACTCCATTAGACCCTCAAGGTTGGACATGACGGAACTTTCCTGGTCAAGGCAAAGCGGTGATATGGAGTGTACAATCCACCTAGCAACCATGTAGGGCACTGGATACTTTTTCTTGTCCTTTTCCAGATAGATCCCCAGCCCAGCAGAGTAGTCAAGCGAGGCATATGGGGAGTTGGCTTGTCCAACAGGGATCTCCGTCAGGCGTAAAATGGCTGTAAAGATGAGGTCGGATTGTTCACGAGTAAAGATACCGTGCTCAGTGAATGGGACATGTGTACAGCTTAGATAATCCCTGGCCATTCGGGAAAAGATGTCAATAAAGCCCACATCAAAGGCCTTGGACCGCGTCATAAGGGACCACAAGTGGAAGAAGGTGGGCACGAAGTCAGACGGCTGTGACTGAGGCTCAGTTGGGGGTGCTGGGCCGGTTGGAAGCAATGTATTGATAGCGCCGGCAACGATGTAGGCATTGGACATGTCGGAGGTGCTGAAGTATGGCAGCAGCTCGTCCAGTATCGCACGGCGCTCCTTGGGATCGAAGTAGACGCTCCCGTGAAGACAAAGCTTCATAATGTGCTTTTGAGCACGCTTTCTGCTACCTTGATGAGGGGCCGTTTCTGAAGGGAAAACCAAGCCCTTGAGCTCTTTCCAGAGTGGTCGCCAGTCCAGCGTCAGGTCTTGGCCTGGCTTCAGGTAATGTCGCTTGCGCGTCAAGGTAACTACCATTCTCGCGAACCTATCGGCCGTGTTGGGATCAAGCCCGGGGGCAAGCGCCAAATGGAAGTAGAGATGCGCGAGACGGGCCCGAAGTTCCCTCGACATTTCAAACTTGAGGTTTAGCCATCCCTGAAGCTCGCGAGTCCAGTGTACAGCGCCCGGGGAAAAATCTTCGGCCATTATAGAGACGTAGAGGTTCTTAAGGATGCCGTTCAAAGCGGCATCCCGGTGCGACTCCTCCTCGACTTCGAAGGGAAGCAGGCGGAAGTAGCTGAAGGTTCGGGGGCGGTAGCGCTTCTGGTCATCTTGGTCTGAGCCGTTGGAACATGGCAGTCCGGGCGATGTGGCGCGGGAGATGGTGTCGGCAGAGGCTAACAAACCGCCGAGGAACGCAGAATGCGCTCCTTCGGCGGCGAAGTGGCCAGCGGCGCCGGGATGCGCCTCTAAAGACTCGTCCATGGTTTGATAGTAGGTCGGCTAAGCCAAGGAGCTCCCTGTAGGCTAGGTCGTCGAAGCGAGTGGGGGAAGAGCTTCGAAGGCGTGGTCACACGAAACGGTTGGGGTTGAGGAGTTGCCGTGTTTCACAAACTAGTGAAATCGCGACCGGGTCCCAGACACAAGGCTGCGACGCGGCTGTCGCGAGGTTGTTGTATCGTGGGAGTTTGTTGTGGGAGAATCGCAGACAGGAAATCGATTCGGGGCCAGCTTGGTTCAGTTATGGCGATATGAGGGTAGCTGGTCGGAAAGTCTGCGACATTGACACGGAGGAAAAGGCGTGGTACGAATCGACGGGTTTTAAGTAGTGGTAGCGGTTCGAGACAAATGGATTGCGACAGCCTTCGACTGCCTATTACGACCTCCTTCGGTGTTTTAAGACAAGCTCGGAGGATCTGGAGAACAGGAAGTCGGGGTTAGCTTACGGGTTCCCCGCGTATCAATGGCCGAACAACGGGTTGCGAGGCTGAACGTGTAGACTGGCTGTCAAAAGGAGGGTAATGGTATGGCAATGGGAGTTGTGATGGTGATGATGGCAATCATGTCTAGCAAGATGAATTCCCAAGTTTCAATATGCAGCACGCTTTGACAAGGGGGGGGGGGGGGGGGGGGGGGGGGGGGCAAGCAGGTCAAGGACGTCTTTCCAAGATCGGGACATACGTGACGTGAACATCTCTTGTGTATTGTTGATGGGTGCTGGAACAGGGGGGTCTCCAAACGAAACGAGTTCTTCAAGGCTGGATGGATGGATGGATGGTTGAAACTTGAAGTTGTGGTGGCATGGGGACGACAATGGGGCCGGGGGGGGATTGGAGGGGATGGATGGATGATGGACCATTGAACTTACAACAGAAACCTGTCCATCCAGCAAAAACAAGCTAATCGCCACCGGCAGATCCAGTCTCGCGCAAAAAGAACGTAATATGCTGGATACCTAAGAGTGAAGAGAAAAAGGAAACTCCAAAAATAACAGACGGATATGGATGCGGCGAGCGATCTGTACAGTAACGTGTCAGGGGACACGGATTTAGGCAGGGCTGATGATGCACAATGTTGGTTTGGATGCTTGCTCCCAAAGCTCCTCCTCAGCTGTGCAGTGATGCCGGAATGGGAGATGGGGGGGGGGGTGAACAATGGCGGCGGCGGGCAGGGAGCTTGGGCCCCGGCCTGGCTGATGGAAGCCAAGTGGTCCGGGTTGCATTGGGGCGGGCAGGCGAGAGGGGCTCTTTTCTTATCTTATCGGCAATGCTATGGTTACCTCTACAACCTCAACCTCCACAACCTGAAATCATTGGTGGAGCCGAGCAGTACGTACCGGCCAGGCATTGAAGAGCTTACATACCTCACCATGCTGGATATGCAGGGGACAATGACAATGACAATGACATGCTCCATTTCCACTTTGCCATCTCCGGGGCCTCCATTCTTTTTTTTTTTTTTTTGCTGTTCTTCCAATTTTTGAGAGCAAACACCATGATGCTGTCGCTTATGTCTTTTTCTCCTGACGAATAAACATGGGTCTCTGTGCTGTCATATGCCGGCCTTCCAATCTCGTGGCGTACCACTTACGAAATAATGGATGCCTGAATAATCCACAACTGGTTGTTCAATATCACCATCAACTCTTTGTCCGTGCAACATGCCGTGCCGGCATATCGATTCCATCTTCACAAACACGGGGCAGTCATTATAAGGATATCACCAACTCGCACGAGTAAATATGGACCCACACAACAAATCCCGTTCGCCGTTACCCAATGCCGTATAACACTCTTCTTCATGCTTTGGGCGTTCATCTGTTACTACATGTACTGGGCTTCACCACTTCCGTCACACGCAAACCGACATCACTCCTCCTCAGAAGGCTCAGACTCTTGCGTCCTTCCCTCCTCCCTTTTGGTCTTTGCACTCTTGGCCTTTGGTGCCCCCTTTTTTGGTTCGTTCTTGCTGCCCGCCTCGTTCTCGTAATCTCCTCCTTGTGCCTCGTACTCTTTGGCAAGCTTCATACCCTTCCATGCCGACCATTGGCCGACGCCGCCGCCCGACTTGTTGGGTTCTTGTTTGATCTCTACTCACGAGACTGTTAGCATGCCGTGCCAATCTACAACAAAGGGTATTTGGGTTGTTTGCGTTGTACCTTCTTTGAGCTGCTCGCGAAGCTCAGGATCAGTGGGTTTGCCTTTGCTGCTTGGCATCTTGGTGGAGGAATACTTGTGATTGAATCGCGATTGATGTCTGGATTAGGGATGTTCTGTGGATTTTGCATCTACTACGTACGGCACGGACTGGTTATATATATATATATGAGCAACGTGTCTCATGTAATGCATCTATGACATGGCTGGCTTGATGGTTACCGATTGCGGAAGTTCTCTGCTTGACTGCGCATCAACTGCAAACGAAAAGAAGGGTCAGGGTTGTCGCATGTCGATTACATCACCGGTCGAGTTGAGACTTACAGTACAAAGACAGAAAGAGGAAGAAAGGGATGTCTCAGAACCCCCGAGGCCAATCTCATCAACTCTGGATTGAAACAACAAGGAGACAGCCGTCCCATGTTTCATTCTCAAGAGATGCATGCTGAACCAGATCACCGGCAGCAGCAACCCATGCTCACTCCCGCTTGTGCATTTGACACATGGCTGACAACCTAGGTACCTTGTTCACTTCGGAGTGCGGGGGAGGAACACCTACAGCACAAAGATCTCGATCCTTCCCTGGGATGATATGCTTAAATTGCGCGACTAAGAATGCCTTTTTATGGTATCGAGGCAGGGACTTTTGCAATCTGGTCGACAGAAGGCCAATCAATGTGTGCACTGGGTTTCCTCTCCGAAACCCTCATTGGCCTGGCCATCACTAACATTGATGACCTGGACACTCGTCAAAACTGGCAGTATCACATGATGAACTGAGAAAGTAAGAGATAAACTTGAGTAAAAATAGCCCTAATGGACTATCATCCATTTCGTCTGGGGTTTCCGCAAACCCATATCTCAAAATCCGTCGTCTTTCCATAGAGATATGTTACTATGGACAAAGGTGAGCGTTCTCGCGCCCAACCGCTAGCGCTACGTCATCCCCGAATCAACCCTTCGCCAGCGCCTATCGGCCCCTGTTCCGGACCATACAACCCTTACCTCAATTGAACCCCCGGATGAAGGCAACGAAGCGCCAGCCAACCATCTTTCTTGGACCACCTACACTTCAAACCCTGATTTTGATAGGTGACTTTCTTTGGACACAGCCATCTCAGTGAAGCGAAAGGACGAACATACAGAAATCAATACATAGGCGATGGGGAGACAACATGGCGGATTCAACGAGCCTGATTCTCCTCTGTTTCTCGTCTTCAGCCGGTTGAAGCGCTGATGTCCATCTCCGACGACGAGAGCGGGAACTGTGACAATCACCGATCGAAATGGGTCTTCATCCCATTACCAGCCTACCATCAACCCTCTTCACCATCTTCACAACCCTAACCATCAATCATGTCCTCCCAGTCCAAGCAACACCCCAACAGCAATCCTCAAAGGCCAGCATCTTCCACGTCCGCCACGTCGACAACCTCAATCTAAATCCCCCCCTACCCAAACCCACACCTCCCGCCGAGCTCCTCCCCCTCCAACATGCCAAAGAACCCATCACCATCTCAACCATAACCATAACCATCACCGCAACCACAACCCCTTCAAACACCCCAGCTTCTTCCTCCGCCCCTTCCTTCCTGAACCCTGCCCTCTTCACCTCCGCCCTCCTCAACTCCACCAACTTTTATCGTGCTCAACACAACGCCTCTGCAGTCATCTACAACGACACGCTCTCTTCTTTTGCTTCCCACTACCTCGACAAACTTGGCCTCCTTTCTTCTTCTTCTTCTTCTTCTTCTTCTTCTTCCTCCTCCGCCAAATCGAAATCGAAATCCAGTTCCACCACCACCAAATGCGAACTAACCCACTCCCAAGGTCCCTACGGCGAGAACCTCGCTTTGGGGTGTTCCGACGTCCAGTCCTGCGTGGAGATGTGGGGCAACGAGCGAGCCAAGTACGATTTTGGAAGCCAGGCAAAGTTTGGGGAAGATACGGGTCATTTTACCCAGTTGGTGTGGAAGGATACGACTGATGTAGGGTGCGCGGCGAGGTGGTGCCAGGGGTGGAATGCGGGAAGGGGAGGATGGTATTTGGTCTGTGAGTATTGGCCGAGGGGAAATGTGGTGGGGGAGTTTGGGAGTATGGTGCAGAGGAGGGTTACGGGGAATGGGGGTGGAAGTAGAGTGAGGGCTGAGTGGAGGGTGATGGTGGTAGGGGTTATGGTGGGAGGGTGGCTGGTTTTTGGATGAGGAGAGGGGGTGCAGATCTGTTGGGATCGTCCGTCACAATGAGGATGGGTACCATGGTTTCTATCTTTACCTCTATGAACTTGGGGGATAAGATGGGGGGGAAGTCTAGCGGTTGAGTGAGTAAGGGATATCTTCGCAGCCGCTTGAAACTACCGCAGCACAGCGAAGCATCGGTATCGATAACGACACGAGTTGGATACCGCCTACTTTGTCGCCAACGATGTCTCGGTTTCCGCTCACGGCATATTCATCCCCGTCGGAATCCGCGATCCACGTCTTACAAACAACCTCAAACATATGCCCATATGGATCAACCACATAAGCCGCGAACTAATCCCCCTCACCCCCGGCAGACCACTGTCCATCCTGCCACTCTGCACCGCCACGGCATGGAACTCCACCACCGCCAGCCTCGTCGGCGCTTTCAACGCCAGATGAAACCCCGGCCCATGGAGGCTGCGTTGCCCATTCGCCGGGCATGGCGAAGTTGTTTAGCTCGTTGTGTTTATCCGGGGCTGTAGCCGAGTGTGCGGATGTGGTTCTTCTTCTTTTGGGATGTGGCAGGATCGCATTCGCTGTCGAAAAACGAGATGGAGGCCTGTGGGCTGGAGGACGGCGTTGCAAAAGGATTTGCAAGTGTTGTAGGACGTGTCGCCGAAAAATATCTGAAAAGGAGAGGGGGAGGGTTCTGGTAGCCTTGGTGACTGACTGCGGGGGTGTGAGCGTGAAGATGGGTATCCTAGTGAACAATGGTCCTGCTGAAAGAAGATGATGCTGAAAGAGATAGTTGCTCTGGTGGTGCTGTATTCTTTGATCTGTAATGTCAGACCACGCCCTGGCGATACGTCGACAGTTTTTTCTTCTTTGGCTTGGTGGATAGGTTTGGATGATGTATGAGTAAATCCACAGCTGAAGCCTTGCACCGTACGATGGGGAAAATAGATTCAAGAATAGGTATGAACATAAAACTTCAAAGCAACCGAAGGCTGATTCGGGATGACCGATGTTTGCCTTATCATATCTTTGTAATCAACTAACTCCCTCACTCTTAACTTGTTGGTCAATTGCTTGTCCGGTTCGAGCAGCCTCGAAGGGTATAGCTGTTCGGTTAAGCATACTGTTAGCGATCAGCATCGTCAGAGAGTCAATTAGAGCAGAAAGAACATACTGGTAAAATGGTCCTTGTTCACTCTAGGTTTTGTCATCTGTAACGCCTTTGATTTATGCGTATTTTAAGCATAGTTCATCCCATCCATCAGCCTCCAGATCTAGGCTTCAGGTTACCAATCCCATCTTTTGTGGTCCGCTGGTGTGTAAAAATAGCACTTCTTGTTCTCCAAGCTGATCAAACCGCGAGTCATCTGTTCGACCACGCTGCAGCGTACGTTTCTTGGTGAAGTGCCCAAAAGAAAGAAAAGAAAAACCTCAAGCTTCGGAGAAAAATAAAAGGGCAGCTAACCGCTTGTCATGCCCTCATTAGTTCTCCCTCGGTGATGTATAGATCCTCTGCATTTCCGGAGGTGACCATGTTGATCACCCCTCCTGTCCCTCGGTTTCAAGTCAACCGATCGTCGAGGGATCAAGGCCCAGTAATGTGATCAACAAAATCATAGACCAAATGCGTCTGCACCCGACATCCTGACCCAGGCTCAATAGCGCTTCGAAACCCTGGTTTCCATTGCTCCCTCGCCACGTTTTCTACCTCACGGCAGTCCGCATCGTAGTAATAATCAGGTCTGGTCGTCTGCACCTTTCGGACAATGGAAAAAGCCTCTCGACAGGGCATGGTGGATTCACCGGGTTGAGGAGCCGGCAGAACCAAGTCGTCATCGTCTTCGATATGGTCATCCAGACAACTAATGAGTTCGCCGATCTTGTCCTGGAAGTTTGAGTGTGAGTCCACTGAGGACTGTGAATTCGAGGTCGAGGACGGGTGGTAGTAGCTACTACTTCTGCTGTTGAAGTCAAAGACCGAGGTCCGGCCTGGCGACTCGGTCGAAGAGCTGGCGGAGATGGTGGTGGCGGAGGGCGAATGAAAGTCGGTTGCCTGGCCTCTCTGGGATGCGGTAGGCATGGAGAGTAAAGCGGCAATGGGGGACATGTCTCTGGGAGAGGCTATGGGTGTGGGTTCGTAGCTTGGTAGGGAGGCTAGATTTCGAGCACAGTCTAGTTCGTGGGGGTGATAGGTGCGGTGGCGCGTTGGTACTGCACTTTCGCTGGACGAAATGCTGGCTAGGATGTCCAGACCATTTACGGGGGGCTGTCGGTGGTGATGATGTTGCTGTTGAAGTTGCCGTGGCGGTTGATGTGGCTCGAACTGGTGTGACCGGGGCTGAGAGTAATGGTAGCCATCATGTCCACTTTGGCTTATGTAGAGGAGCTGCTCTGCAGGTGACTCATCCCGGGATTCCGGAGTGTAGACTGAAGGAGAGGACGCTTCACGGAGTCTCTGGTTCTCGGCCTCAAGTTCTCGGATATGCTTGAGAGCTGCATCGAGCCTTTCGCGGGTGTCAGCTAGAGAGCTTTCGAGCTCGGCAATTTTACCCTTCACTCTTGCCCGATGACGCCGCTGGTTCTCTCTTTGCCGAGCAGCTTCTGCTTCTGGCAGTTTGGAAGAGAATTTGTGGACCTTGAAGGACTCGTTGGAAGCCATTGCTGTTGGCATCTTGGGCGATGGAGTGTATGGTTTCCACAAGCTCGAACAAAGGAGAGGCAATATCCGGGCGTGAGCGTGAGTGAGATTGGATGGATGGGTGGGATGTCTTGTTTCCGGGTTCTGCAGCCAAACACCGAGGTGCGTGGTTTGAGCGTTGGGATGTGCTTGGTTGCAGAAGTGGATTGAGAGGAAGAGGCGGAATCAGTCAGAGAAGGGAAGCACCGATGACAAACTGAAAATTTGCCAGTTTGAGGAACGAAAAACGAAGCTCATTGGTCAAAGTAGTTCTCATACAACGATCCCGGCTTTGGTGTTTGCGGTCCCGCTTCTGAGTGGTCGTCGTCCTTGAGAACGACTCGCTTGGGTGGCTCCACCCACTCCACATGAAAAGTCACTAAACCCAATTCGGGGACTACCACCACGACAATTCCCCGATTCACGACAAGACGAGACTGTCACGGCACAAGACCCTCAATGGCCACGGATATAGTTATGGAACAGGAGAGATGGGAGGACATGCTGGGAGATGGGTATAAAGGTAGGCCCTGACACTGTGGAAATGAAAGATCTCGAACATCTCCCAACATCAACTTCTTTTACTTTACTCAAACACAGGCGTCAACAACCATTCTTTGACACTCGTCTTTAACTCACCATCCACAACCACATCATCCTCCACCATGGATACCAGAAACACTTCCCAAATCTACGACGAGGTTGCCAAGCACTACAGTGCTGCCTCCCAGACCACCAGCGTCAAGTATGGCGAGACCGTCGCCAAGTCTTTTGGCTATACCGAGGAAGAGCTCGCCAACATCCCCGAAGGCGCCAACCTCGGTCTGAGCTGCGGTAACCCCCTGGCTATCACCAGTCTGCGCGAGGTAACGTTGATCCCTCTGTTCTATACACTTTTGTTTCATCGTATCTCTATTTTTTCCAAAAAAAAAAAAAAAAAGACTGACATGTCCTTCTACATACAACCAGGGCGAAACAGTAATCGACCTCGGCTCCGGCGCCGGCTTCGACGTCTTCCTCGCCGCCACCCGCGTCGGTCCCACCGGCCGCTCCATCGGCATCGACTTCAACGACGACATGCTTGCGCGCGCCAACTCCCTCAAAGCCTCGCGGGGTTTCCCGGACTCGCAAGTCTCCTTCATCAAAGGCTCCATCACCACCATCCCCCTCGAGTCCGGCACCGCCGACTGCATCATCTCCAACTGCGTCATCAACCTGGTTCCCGAGGCCGAGAAGCCTTTGGTGTTCAAGGAGATGCACCGCGTGCTCAAGTCCGGTGGTCGTGTGGCCGTCAGCGATATCCTCGCCAAGAAGCCGTTGCCGGAGAAATTGAGAAATGACATCGCCATGTACGTCGGCTGCATTGCGGGCGCGAGCGAGAAGCAGCAGTACGAGACTTGGCTGAAGGAGGCGGGCTTTGAGCAGGTGCTGATTCAGGATACCGGGGCGGATATCAATGTTTATTTGGACACGGATGAGAACGGCAACAGGGGCGGGTGCTGCGCTCCTCCTGGAACTGTGAAGGAGGAGGAGGAGGAGAAGTCCTCGTCGTGCTGTGCGCCCAAGAACACTGAGTGCGCCCCTGCTGCTGCTGCTTCTTCCTCGTGCTGCAAGCCGGCTGCTGAGACTACCTCCTCTTGCTGCAAACCCGTTGAGAAGAAGGAGTCGTCTTGCTGCAAGCCTGCCGCGAAGCCTGAGGTCGAGGCCGAGGAGAAGGATGATCTCAACGAGTGGGTGGGTTCTTACAAGATCTATGCCGTCAAGAACTAGATAGCAGAGCTCGGTTATCGCTATGGGTCTAGAGGTAGATCAGCTGTGTCTGTTAGTGTATCAGTAACTAGGTAGCCTCGCAAAGACATCAAGTGTCATGTGAAGTGGTTAAGCAACAGAACATGGAGAGTGAGATATAGGTTGCGTGATCCAAATCAGTATATCGCCGGGCACGTTGAAAAATGGTCGCGGGTTGTATACAAGTCACAGTTTAGTTATTTTCATCAATATAGTAGAAGGCTATAGTCTGGATTTGGTGCAAAAGAGCTGAAATCAAGTTGGCAAAACTGTATAGTCCGAATCTATGGTCATGATTAAGTTCAGACAACCGGCACATTAGATGGGGATACCCTCAGATTTCGCCATTCCATCTTCCATCATAACCCCCACTCCCGCCTCTGAACAGCTGAGACATCACAAACCACAACCATCTCGTACCCCGTGTAACAGTCTGAGAATCAATCGATAATAAGATTGTCATGGGACCTAGGTCTTCGCTGCCATGAAATGGAACTGTCAACGCGCCTTAGCATCACAAAACCTACAGCTTCTAACACCACTTTGCGCGCTTCTTTCCGCGGGACAAAAACTCCTTTTGGCAGCCCGACCCATCATCCTTGCGGTTATCCAACAAAGCCTCATCTCGTGATCTCTTCTTCCTGCCCGAAGTAGAGGAACCTTCTGCGAAGGAAGTCTTTGCTGAATCCTCCACATCCGCCGTCTTGAGGGCGGCTCTCTTGGCCGCAGCAGACTTCATCTGCTCTTTCAGGGTATACCCCCCCGAGGTCTTGGGCACTGGAGTAGAAGTAGAAGTTTCCCGGGGACTCATTTGACGTGCAGCCTCGGCCTCTTCTTCTTGCTCGAACTTTGCTAGTGCCTTCCTGACCACCGACTGAGGGCAAATAGGCGGTTTCGAAGTCCTGAGACTAGCCCGAGATGACGAGCTGGCAGAGTTTTTGGTAGCGGTCCGAGAACAAGAGCTGGCATTTGTGCGAGAGATGACTGAAGACTCGTTTAGATCTGTCTTGGGCGAAATAGAGGCGGAAGAGGAAGCTTTCGTTGAGGTTGACGAAGAAGAGTAGTAGCGCCTTACAGCTATCTCGGTGGGCGTTCCCACCTCAACGTTGGATTGAACCTCACGAAGAACTGGGGCAGTGACCTTCCCTCTTGCAGCATATAACGCCATTTGCTCTTTCAACGTCAGGGCCTTCTTGGCGACTGGTGGGCTTGTAGGAGAACCGACTGAGGAGGCGGAAGCAAGAGCGGAAGCTGTCGGCGAAGTAGAGTAGTTGCGGTTGACAGATCGCTTGTTGAGTGGCTCTGATCCAGTTCTGGAAGAAACCCGACGGATACCCGGGGCAACTACCACCTTTTGTTTGGCAGCATAAAGTGCCCGTTGCTCCTTCAATGTCAGGGCCTTCTTGTTGACTGGCGGTGAAATGGTAGAAGTCTTTGCGGCAAACTTCGAAGAGGGGCGCAAATTCTCCTTCATGACGACCTTGGGTCCATATCCGGCAGGGGCCGTTTTGGGTGACTTGGATGTGGGCTTGGTAGCACGCCTGTTGAGATGTTTCGAAGTGACTGAGGTAATAGGCACCTGCACTGTTCTGAAAGCTGGCTCGGCGTCCTCTTTGCCAGCTGCTTTTGCTTTCGCAGCATATAGTACCCGCTGCTCCTTCAGAGTAAGGGCTTTCTTGACTGACGGTGAAAGGGTGGAAGAGCGCTTGGAAGATGGCGCGGAAGAGGAGTGATGATTGTCCATGGTTGTAGTCTTGAAGCCCGATTGAGTGGAAGTGGGTGTGGGATTCCTGGTCATGGATCGATTGACGCGCCCCTTGTCGGGGTTCGAAAGGATAGTGTCGGGTTTTGAAGACGTCGCCCTGTTGGTTGATGAAGCAGCTCCGCCCAAAAAGTGCGGAAGGACTGGTTGCTGAAGCCTTAGATGATGGTCCAAGTCTTCTTCTAGAGGGGTTGTCGTGGCAGCTTTGTGAGAGAGTCCTGAGAAAGATTTGATGTCGGTCGTTGGGATAGCAGATTTGGCCCTGGAGGACAACGTGTAGGAGCTTTTTTCGGGCGCAGCCTTTTTTGCGGGAGTCTTGTTGATAGTTTTCGAGGTGTTGCTGGCTTTTTTATTATGGGAGATGTTGTCGAAATCGTCTAGGTCGTGCGGTTTGTCTTCATCGAAATGCGTCTTGTCGAAGACTTTTGAGCAGTTGTCCGTTTTTATTCGTGTAATTGGGGGAAGAAATTGAGTTCAGGGTCGCTGATGGAAATACTCGAATTTCTACCCTCAGGGATTGTGCACAGCTCTATTGTGTCCAGGTCTGTTGCGCTCAGGTTTATTGTGTCCTGCCAGTCAAAAGGAACCTACCTAGTGAATAAAATCTTGGTGAATAGGATCCTGGTGAATTGTGTCAAGGTTTCTTTCGTCTGATCTCTTTTCTCTTGGCCGGACGTGTGCTGATAGTAGCGCTCATATTGTTCTTTTTCTCGGAATTGCCGTCGGCAGTCGTCTCATCGTCTGAACCTTTACTCTTATCAGTCGCCTTGATGCCGGAGGAAGTTTCCATAGTGGATGCGGCAGCCTTGGTGATAGCTGGGGAACTGAACGCTTCCATCACCTACTCTTTCCCTTTTGCTATGGTGACTGTGATAATTTCGCCCAATATTTTCTGCCCAAAAAGCTTGTTCTGAGTGCTGTCGTGGTTGAATATCTTTCTTTTGCCAGCAGTCATAATGGCATTCTCCGTGGCGAATGCAACCATGTGTGGTAAGGGAGGCGCGATCTGAGCTTTCTCGACGGCCCTTGATGGGGAAATCGGCCTTAGGCATGGTAGCAGACGACTTAGGGATTGGAAAAAGCAGAGGATAGAAAGGTCTGGCATAACTCCAGATACTTCGCTGCTTCAAAAGACTTGTTCCACGAATTTTAAGCTTCAATACACTGTCCAGCATCAGCATGTTCTTCTTCACGATCAAAGGAATCAAGGGTGACATCCTCAATATCAGTGATAAGGCCGGCGTCATATCGCAGGAGGCAGGTATTTTCTTCATGTCGACGTGCGGCCGTTCATGCTGCACAGCATCATCTTCACTTTCACACACCAACATGAGGTTGTCATCTTGATCATCTTGCACAGCGTCCATGTCGTCAGCCCCGTTGCCAATCCCGAACTTGGCATCGGTGGGGTTCTCTCCATAGTAATCAATGTAGTTAACATTGTCGTCCTCATCCTGCGCTAAAAAAGAAGCCAGGCTCAACTCGCAGCCTTCGGCGTTCTCTGCCTTATCCATCTCCATGTCGACATCTTCCATGTATCCGTCGTTGTCGACGTCAACCATGTCGTCATGCTCTCCAGAGTCGGCATCGACACGGACCTTCCTCGGTCTTCCACGTGGGCGACGGGGCTCCGCAGGCTGCACAGGAGCACGAAGTTGAAAAGTCAGCGCAACATCAGGGTTGATTCTGTATCGGAATCGGCTGGTGGTTTTGGTCATCCAGAGCAGCCATTCCTGGGGCACGCCTTGAGATTTGGAAACAAGAAATAGTTAGCAGCTGTTCACTGGGCTCACGACATGTCTTTAAAGACGTAGACAAAGGACAGCTCGTTTACTTACTCAGTCTCATAGAGTCAGCAGGGAAGTTCTAGTTCTCCGCTGTAACCGCCTCTGTGACCTCATCATGGATAATGCTCAGGACCTCGGTGCGCTTGCGGTCGATCCAAGAGTAACCCTTGATCTGGAAGCGCCAGATTCCTGCGGCGGGAAGTCCGAAACCGTACATGTCCATGGCCAGGTAGACTCTGTCATCAGGTCTATAAGCTGGTGAAAGGCCGAATCGGTATCGTTCGACTTCGCGTTTGATGGCGTGGATATCCTTTGTGGTTGTCACTGCAGTGACTTCAAGTTTTATGTCGTTGTCGTAGTGGGCAAAGGGTCTGGGCAGAAGGATCGCTATGGGTGGAAAGGGACTGTCGACGAGAACTCGGTCAAGGAAGGGAATTGCAAGGTCGGCATCGGGAGGAATGTTGTTCGGTTGGGGTCGAGTCGACATGGTGAAAAGAGGCAGTTGATCTCAGCCGTTAGTGGTGAATTTCAAGTGACAATATTTGTCGGAGACCGACGGTGTAAGAGGGAAAAATTGTGGTCGGGTTGACAAAGGGATACGTCCGTTAAATATGTGCAGTTTGTGACATTATGGCGACAGGTGAACACGACCTTGGAAGCCATGGTTGGTAAACAGAGGCTCAAATTTACATATGGACAGGTGAAGGCATCCATAGTCCTATCATATGAAACCTTGGAGCCAAGATGCCAGGTGAATAGAGGTTGAAATTCCAGGTTCTAGCTCAGGTCCTACTTCACTTCACCTAGACACCACGTGGCCGGGGATATAATTTGCCTTGGGATCCACGGTCACCTTTAGAAGGGTCCAGACGAGACATCCATTGGTTGCTATCGGTTACTTTAAGGTTCCTTTCGCGGCTTTCCTTGTTCAAGGGCTTGTTTTTCAGGATCGAAGGGCAGCCACCAGACTTTGTCAGTGGAGTTGATCGCTAGGTAGATAGACCATCCATTAGGATCTTCTGATTATGAAAAGAGTATTTTCAGTACTGGGCTTGGCCCATGAATAATTACAATTTCTGGAAGGCGACGATGGAGAGAAACAAACAGGGACATACACAGAGATTGTCGCCAGGGGCAAGTATGGAAACATACAAATACTTAATATAGGTCGTCAAGGGAGAGGAAAGTGCTCTGGGAACGACAGCGAGCCTCGAGAGATTATTGGACAATGTACCCCAATGAACAGAGAGCAGCGATCTGCTTATGTGGACCGCTAAAGGACCTCTCAACCCGTGATATCTTTCCGGCCAAGACCACTCTCTGGCACCTTCTGGATGCTGATTGCCGACATGATCGGGTTGATTAAGCAACTTTGGCCAGCGTGGGGTGTGGTCGTTCTTGTGTTCTTCAGAGAGCAACTGTTACCCTCAGCGATATCATGGCTCAAAGAAATGTTGAAACCTGAACAATGACCTCTTACTCCAACTGCTCTCTTTTCAGGTCTGTTGAATATGCTTTTTTACGGTAAATCACCTATCTAGCGTCACGATATTGTTTGTTGATGCTAAGATCCCACACCGTTTATCGAGATAGTTGCATTATTTTAGTGTAATGTTTGGAAATACAGTCCCACCTTCCTTTCCATTCAGAAAAGATGACAGGATTCATTTGGTTTGTAATCTGGGAAATCCACAATGCACGGGAACACGCGTTGCCCTGTTTCGGGCGGGAGCTCCTGCCGTGGAGAGCTCGAGCACTCACTGCGTCAACGTCCCGTCTTCCTGCAGGAAACACTCGGCCAGTTTTACTGTACCCCGCCCTCATCCATCTCGACTTGAGGCTCTTTCTCTTTCACGGTCGGTACGTAATGTTAGCCGTTCACAACGCGCCGGACCTTTACGCACTCTAGTTTACCCCTTGTTCCTTCTGATCTTGTCGTTTTTTTTTGTTTTTTTTTTTTCATCTCCTGCTCATCCTCGCGCGCGTGAATTTCAGACACTTGGGACATATGTGCCGTCTGGACTATGCGAATGGAGGCGCTGGAGAGGAATCAACACGATGAGCCAAGATTCCTCATCCTCGCAGGACCATATCGGCCCGCTCTCAGAGGTGCCTCTCATCACTGAATCATGTCCAACAACGACTAGTCAAGGATCGCCATCTTTGAAGAACAACAAAGAGCAAATTGGTAGCTCTAGCTCTGGTTGCGAAAACCCTCAAGCCACATCTGAAGCCCAAAATCACGACTCGATGCTCCAGGGATATGGTGGTCATGAGACTAAACTTGTCCCAGGGGAGAGCGACACTGAGAGACTGCAAGCATGTTTGAAGCACCCCGAAATATCTGATGATGCACAGCCTGCATCAGGGACACATTCAAAAGGGGTTGAGAACATAACTACCAAAACCACAGCAGCGTCTGGAAAACCCTTAGCAAAGCCATCCTTACTACAGTCCCAACCAGCTCCGCCGGCGTCTCCGCAACAAGACGACTTGATGTTCCATGGCATGCTAGAGGCAAGGAACACCGCCTTCTCGTCTACTAAGTCTGACGCCTCGGCTCCCTCTCGCAAATCGCTACCTGGGACTTCTACTCTTCAGGCTCAATTGGCGAAAACAAATAACGTTGGGCTTCCCAGGCCAATCCTCAACAACACCAAGAAGACGAGTTTGCCGCCAAATTTTTCCAACTCTCCCAAATTCCCTGATCGATTGTCATCCGCGGCGTCTGGGAAGGCACATCAGCAGAAGAAGCCATCAAAACCTTCATCATCATCATCATCGGGTACCATTGCCCCGAGCTACAAACAGGCATCTGGTTCGACCATTGCGAGCGTCTATTTCAAGGGTAACGGCTCTTATTATACGCCTTTCAACTCTGATTCCCCGGGCGTAAGCAAGCATCCCTCCAAACGTTCAATGGACGGTACAGCGAACACGGAATCTAAACTACGCCCGTCGTCTGAAAAGGGCCACCTGGAATTATCATCCCAACTGTCTCAGCCCGTCCCTGGAGTTTCTGCTCTCACTTCCATGGACCCCCGTCAGAAAAGTCAGCAAGCCCACTCTGAGATTTACGGATCTACCAGCTCTTTGAACCAGCTCCACAAGATATCGAAAGACCCCGATCCTTCGGAGAATACCCAAGAAACATTACGGGATGACCGAGCTTCAGAAGACTCGGAACTGTCTGACGTCGAGAGTATTGATCCTCGGTCCTTCAGCTCCAATACCACCGCCAGTACCCTGGGTCGACTTCCTGGGCTCGTTATCGTCGATAGTGACGACGGCGACGATGACAACGACGACGACGACGACGATCGGGTTCTTTACGATGCTGAGAAGAACGACATTAGCCGGGACGATGGTGTTTTTGCGGACCAACCTGACAACACTGTATCTGCTACGAATACATCTTGTCCTTATACTAAACATACCAAAGACTCGGCCCTTGATGATACTCCGTACAAAGTCTGCAAAGGTAATGCTTCTGTCAATGCCACTGAGGTTTCAGATGACGCCGGCTAACATGTGTAACAGATCAGTTCGGTAACATAACCAAGACAGAAGGTGCACTAATACCCATCGGCTATCAATTCTTTGATGGCGATTTTCCGTGGATATGTCCTGTCCGATCCTGCAGAACATTGCACCCATCCATCAAGGCCCTGGGGAACCATTTTAGCGTGCGTCGTTCCGTCTCCTGTACCTTCGCTGTTTCTTAGGTTACCAATCTACATTTAGAGACCTGCTGATGTGCTAACTTCCTGCCTCAACTCTCTAGCATGGACACAAAGGAGCTTGTTACAATGATAACCTGGATGGTACTTTGACATTCTTGGGTCAGTATACCAAAATGCTGAACAAGCAACCTCCGATCATTGTTAGCAAGAAAGCCATGAGTCTTGATGACTCGCCAATGCTCGAGCCGTCGCATACAGTAGCGAACCATTACAAGTTCATTTCCGGGCTTCCTGGAGACAAGTTGAATGAGCACACGCAGAGGCGTCAGTCACAGAGCAATCAGCTTGTATCTGGCCAGGCTATTGTTGCCGTTCGAGATTCTCTCCTCCCGAAACCTGAAAAGACCTTGACTATGGCCGACCCAGATCGTCCTTACAACATGTGGCCTAGTATGTTTTTCTTTTTCTCCACCTTACTATCATTATAGGCCGGCAAAGGGGCAGCGCCACTAACTCTAGGGCTGTCATAGATGCGACAGGGAAGCTTGAGCAACTCTATGGTGGCCTGCTTCCATCTGGATGGACTCCGTACTATGAGTATCCGAAGCGCCAGTGGCTATGTCCAATCCGGTCATGCCAGTGCTTGACGAAGAGCCGGTATCAATTTGGCCGCCACTTCTTGGTCAGTACACGTCCACTCACCTAGTCGTGGACGGCCTTTGCTAACAAGGCTTTCAGACCCATCGCGGCTGTCACATGAATGACAACCTTGATGGGACGTTTACCATACTCCGCAGCCCATCTCAAGCTCAGCTGGATGATAAGGATTATACCGACACACCCTCAGCTGTCGTCTCACGCGAGCCATGGGACATTGAACCTATCCAATCGCCAAAGATCAGAGTCAAAGATCCATCAGGTACCCAGCCTATTTGGTTCAGCCTCAGCTTGTATATGGAGTCAACCACAAAAGGGCATGCGAAAGCTGTCAAAAATACCACACCCTATTCTGTCCCAACAAAAAATAAAATTGTACAACCAGGACCGAGGGAGACCCCATTGAAACTGGTCACAGAGGTTCAGTCTGACGGGGAACTCATTATGGCCAGCAAGGATCGGAAATACACGTTTTGGTGGGGCAAGTCATCTTCGTGGTATATTCTGTCTCTGATTAGGAATTAACACGTTTTTCTTGTCGACAGATGCGGATCGGAACCTCAAGGAAACACGTGGTGCCTTGATCCCAGAAGGGTATGAGTTGGATAAGACTTGGCCTGGCCGACCATGGATCTGCCCTATTCGCTCTTGTCGAGTAGTTTGCAAGAACACTTGGAGTTTAGGATTACATTTTGTAAGCTGAATATGGCTCATGTCTTTTTCATTACTTTAAGCAAGGCGCTTACACTGAACCTTACCAGACGAAAATGCATTCATCGGTTAGCCTAAACGATAACAAGGACGGCACGTTCTCCATTGTAGGCACGCACCAATATGGAGCACCTCGTGTGGTATCAAAGCGCCTCGTCAGTCTTCATAAGGATCCAGTCGTCGAAGCATGCCTTCCCGTTCTTAAGAAGGTAGAGATCGAAGAGGAGGAAAGAAAAAGAAGTCAAATGGAGAGTTCCACGCACAAATCCACCACAAAAAAACCTGCCACGGACGCAGAAGAACTCTGGGAGTACTTATGCAGCATGGTCGACCGCGATCTCACGAGGCCGAGTCATCCGAGCTTCAACCATCTCATGGCCCTCCCTCGAATTCGAGATTTAAACATCATCGACAAAAAACTGGACCCAAAGCAACTGAAACATTCAGCGCTAGGAGTGGCTTTGGTTATTCAAGTAACAGGAGTGGAAAGGCTGGTAAAACAATGCACAGCATGCCGCCGCGGAGATGGTCCTTTCTACGAGTGTGTCAGCATATGCCCGGAACTTGCCCATGAGATAGCCGAGTCGAGTCCACAGTTGGTGACATCGCCCACCAATCGCTGGTGTTGTATGAACTGTGTACTCAATAAGTCGGCCACAACGTGCAGTCTCAAGGCTTCTATGCTGGAACGTTCGGAAGACGGCAGAGTTCAAGAAAACATAAAACAATGGATGATATCTCCACAACGACCTGCAGCCATGGTCAAGCGGAAGCATGTTTTTGTGGACGATGAGGCGGATAAGGATGTTGACCTCTATCGTCAAGATGCAACCAGCTTTAGCTATCGACGATCTGGGCGTCTAAGGTCACTAGCTGAAACCACGCCTTCCGAGTCACAGAAACGGCCGTTCGCTTCGACAGATATGGCGTCTGCGGCCTCTCAGGCCGTTTCAACTACACGGGAAGAGAACTCGAGCTCTCTGCGAGGCTCGAAACGAATTCGCGGCACGCAAAACGCTCCTCGCCAAGATCCTACACCGGGCGCGATCCAAGAATCCCTGGAAGTAGAGGATTGGGAAAGGGAAGCAAAAGCTATTCCCAGAGAAAACGGTCCTTCCGACAGTAAGTGCTTTGACCAACCATCCCGTCCTTCTCTTGGTTTTCATGCTCCTCCATTTCTTCTTTTCTCTTATGAAGTTACTAACCCCTTCTCGCCTCGAAGACCTCGCCCTCTCCTCCTCTTACAATTTACCCACCCACCAAAACTCCTCCACCTCCTCCATCCAAATCTGTGCCTCCTCATCTTTCTCTCTCCACGTCATAAAAATCCCCGCGGGAGGCTCTTATGAACTCCCAGCCACATCAGACGTGTCTCCGTCATCATCTTCCCGAAAACAACAACATCAAACTCGTATGTGCACTGTTATAGCTGGCAAGTTGCGAGTCAAGATAAAAACATTGGAGGATGACGCAGATGGTATGGAGTTCAATATTGGAGTGCATGGCTTGTTGAAGTTGGAAAAGGAGATAGAGTGTAAGTTTGAGAATTGGGGGTATAATGAGGCGGTTTTGCAGGTCGTTGGTGTTGGTGGAGAGTAGGTGAGTTTTTGCTTGGAAGAGTATTGGAAAGAGACGGCTGGTTGACGGTGTGTTTGGTTGAGTGTGGTTATGAAAGGTCAAGCACTTGCGTTGGGTACATGACATTTGATGGTCTTGAGTATATGAAGATTTGAACTGGGTGTATGAGTCGACATGTTGAAAAAGGTCATGATGCCCGGTTATAGCGACTGTGCTCAATACACCCATCAAGCGGATTCGCACGCTTTGTTTGGGATTAGCTTGGACGAGTTGACTAGGACAAATATAAAGGGTCAAGGAAATGAGCAACACCAAGCTAATTGGCGAGAACATGCATTATGAAACCAGTAGTACTGTGTCTTGTGTTGAGTATGAGCTAGAAGTAATCTTGTTAGTATACTGAGTGTCGAAATATGATTGAAATGCACGTAGATAGTGTATCACGGCGTTTTAAGTGGTATCTTCTGTCATTCTTGCAAAGTCCCGACTTTTGTCTTTTTTCCTTTCTTTCCTTTTTCTTTCTTTTTTTTTTATCCTTTTGCGTCAATGACATTAATCTTCATAGTTTGGAGTCAAAAGGGGTAACCTGTTTGCTGATTACTGGAAGATATATTGTCATTGAGTCAATCATAGGTACGTTTGCTCTCAATTCCTGTTTTCCCACCCCCAAATCAATCCCCTTGGCGTCCTCCTCCTCCTCATCTCCCCCATCCTCAACACAGCTACCCAACCCAACATCATCTCCCGCCCATCGTCCTCCAATTTGCCCCCGGGACTGCCCCCAGCAAAACCACCGATTGCATCATTAACACCGTTTGCACCAATTTGTACAACGGAACGGGGGATACGAGACTCTTTCTTCCATTCATTACTCGCCTCCCTCAGGGACCCCAAGGACATCTGTAAAATGAGTAGTTGGGGCAGTAGCAGGAACAGCAGGCGGAGGGAATGGTGGTGGGGATAGAGGGGGCAGCATGACCTAACTGAAGTACGCCGTTTTGTCAAACTTGTAGTTCCCACATGTGTACCGTATGGACTCGAACCGTTGATATTTACCTTTAGGTTTCTTGGAAATTAGGCATAGTCTCTCAACCATACTGCAACATTCATGCCCATCAGAATTTGCATGGGAAATGGTGGTTCTGGATGTCATCATCATCCAACACCTTTGAAAAGATAGGTAGGTGGCAAAAGACAGGATATTAGATGAAGCATTGGATTTATTGTGCTCCAGGGTATCTAGCAGCACGACTCCCTCACTTATTTGGTGAGCACAAAATGCACACACTCAGGCAGTATGCTTATAGATTATGCCTGATTTCCAGGGGAACCTAATTAGGTATCAACGGCCCGAGTTCTATACGGTAGGTAGGGGATTGGGTGGTCAAGCAGGTTCGTTGTGTGGTGAGCGGGACCCAGTGCAGGTGGCGGAGATGGTGCAGGCTGGGTTGGTGACAGTATTGGAAAAGGAGGTCTACCTAGGAGGGATTGCTTGAGAACTGACCTAAGCTTAGGACATTCGGGTGCGTACCTAGGTACCTTGGTTTGTGTTGGTGACTATTCCTGGACTGATGATCACTGCGGTGCTTGCTTGATGGATTACGCATGATTTGTAAGTGGATGTTATGACCGTGGCGGTGAGGTAGATAGAGGAGGATAGAGGCAATTATGTATGGTCTGAAAGTACGTTCAGTTGCTAATGGTCAGGGTGGTCTTAGTACAGCGGAATACAGCTCGGAGTTTCTTAAGATTTGGGGGGGGGGGGGGGGGGGGGGTGGTGGTTTTTCTAAATGGTGAGTGGTTTCTGTTTCCATGCTCGCGCGCTGGCACATCCCAGCAAGTCAGTAATGTGAGCGGCGACATAAAGGATCGAGCAAGTTGCATGCTCGATTTGGACTTGGTATTGTGACTGGTTTTTTCTATGTTCTCTTATGCTTCAAGACTTCCGGATGTTGCTGCTTTTTCATGGCAGAGCCCGCAGATGGTTGGGGTGCAGCTGAGATGTAGGCAATTGGCAGGAGAACGAGCAGCATGCAAGAAAAGAGCAAGGAAAGAGGAAGCCGCCTCGCCAGGAATTGAAGCTCGGCGTTCCAACAGAGCTTCCATTGCTCCCCCTTTGTTCTAAAGAAAACAGTGCTTCTTGCTCCATCTCCAGCTACGGTATCTCTACACTTCCAAACAAGAAAAGCCACCGTTTAAACACCATCGCCCCCAAACCTTTTCTTTTTGCTTTGCCCCCCTTCACACCATTACTTGACTCTCTCAAAACCAGGACCATCAGTCACATTACTTCTTGTATTGTCTCCAATATCTCTTGCTAATCATACTCGCTTACTCATATCACGAAGGTGCCTATCTAATCATAGTCATGGTGCCTTCCAAGTCACATATCTTTCCCAACAACATGGGACCTCATACCAACAATCGGATGGGGCAGTCTCGGCCACCTAATGGAGAAAACTTGACAATGGCGCCTGTTACCTCGCATACCTCTTCGATCGAGATGGGCCCCCTTGTTGACAATGACACGGACCATTTTCACCCATCCAAGTCAGAGAATATGGACTGGGTGAGGGAGTTGGGATTGGAAGATGAAGGTTTGATTCAGCAGCCTACCCCATCCAGCGAGTTTTTCCAAAGCCAGTCCAGAGGCAATCGCCCTTCAACTCTTATCTATTCCGTAATCCGAGACTGACCTCACGCAGTTGAGCCACAGGCGACACAACAGGGAGCTCAAGAGCAGGGGCAACTTATGTCATCCACCGACTTTGATCGAGCGTGTACCGCGGATACCAAAGCGTCTGTTGAGGATAATCAAGTTCGAAACGACAACAACTCGGCTGAGGGATCCGGCATGAAATTTGACCAAGCCCAATGGCAAGAGCTGGATGAACGCAACATATGTATTCAAAAAGCGATTGGAGGTCTCCATTTGCACTCGACCACCCACTACCAATCTCTGCTCAAACAACTACAAGACAACAGAAGGTATTTCGAAGTCCTGTTCAAAGACCTGAAAAAACAGATGGAGGAGTCTCCCAATCAAGGAAAATCGTCTGCTGCAGTGGCAGTAGAGTGTGAACTAGTGCAGGAAAAAGAACGCCGCCGAAAGATGGAATTGAACTGTCAAAAACAGGTGCAGGAAATAATCGAATTAAAGTTGGAGGTTCAGAGGTTGTTACGAGTTTGCCAGCAGTTGAATGAACGAATTTCCAAGTTGGTACAGCAACCTCAAGTCCAAGGAGCGCCAGTCCAGCAGTTCCAAGCTCAGCAACTCCAAGCTCAAGGAATCCGAGCTCAGCAACTCCAACAAGCTCAGAAACGCCGAGTCCAGCAACTCCATGCTCAGCAACTCCAAGCTCAGCAATTTCATATGCAAGCTCAGCAACTCCAAGCCCAGCAATTCCAAGCCCATCAGCCCCAAGTCCTGCAACCCCAAGTCCTGCACCCCCCAATGGAGTCGCCCCAGCAATGTTATAAACACTTGATGAACTTCTGCCAGTCGGTACCCTTTCCCCCCGAACTAAACGGAATAGGGAACAGCTTTGAACAGCACTCAGGGCTCAAAGAGCATCAACAAGGGCCGACATCAGTTCCCACCTCTGCGGACTTCCAGTTCGGATTCTCGACTAACGGAGTTTTCGAGGGATCTAAGAGAATGGGAAGGTCCGAAAACCAGAAAAGAGGACGTCAAGACTTTAATGCCGCCCAACAAGAAGGGAAACAGGAGAGAAGAATTCGGAAAAGCTCCAGTAACGGTAGATTTTAAGCTACCCTGAAGAATAAGGGGGAAACCAGGGCAGCAAAGATGGCAGGTAGTAGTCGCTAACACTCCTTCACGGGAATACTAGCACTCTCAAAACGATACTTTTGCTGCAGGGAGGCGGAGATGAACGGCAAAACGCATGTGTTCGGTGTTGGGAAAATCTTGATATCATCAGCGAAGGGAAAAAGGAAAATCACAGCTCTGCACTTTCGAAGAAGTGATTATATGGTTAGTTGATTAAGGAAGAAAGCGAATGATTCATGAAATCGGTGCTGATGGGCTTTTTGCGATGGGTTACAAAAAGTGAAAGAAAATTCTTCAACGGGGGAAAATGGCGGCATAATGCACAACGGGGGCAGAAGAAAGTTGGATTCATGTTCTCACTGGAGCATTCAGACATGCGTTAGCGTTTGTGAAGTTTCAAGAAATAAGGTTAGAATCCTTTGGGTACCTAACATTGGGTACCAACTAGCGTAAACATTACCTATCCCTTTAACGGTGAAAATATTACATTTTAGCGGCCTCCACAATCTACCAATGGTACTTAGAGACTTGTTAATACCGCCAAGCAAGCTAGCCAGCATGTCCATGCATTAGATCGGCGATGACAAAAGTATCATTTTTGCTAGTAAAATCAGCGATTCTACATCGTCTGTTAAGGTTTAAAATAGACTTACTATATTATATTCTTAAACCGTAATAATTACTAACTCTTTATTGTAGTATTAAGGTTTTTAAAAATAGATCTTTTAGTAATTTTAAACTTATTTCCTAGTAAAGCAGCCGCTTAGCCAATACTAGCCGGCCTAACCTAACTAGTACTAGCCTACCCTTTAATAAATAATAATCCTATAAATTATTTACCTTTATATATCCTCCCTCTCTCTAACGAATTAGAGCCAAATACTAATAACAATAAAGGTAATTTTATTCCTAATTCTGAAAACGACCGTAATAATAAGGACTATAACGAAGGTTACCCTAAGCCGCCCGGTAACGAACTTCCGGTTCTCCCTCGGTTTAATTAGTAGGACTTGTAATATATCTACTAGCTAATAGGTAAAATCCCTAATAATATACTTAATAATCTAACCGCCGCCGTCGATTACAAACCTACAAACTTTCGGGTTAACCTTATCGACTTCTAATATTTCCCCTTCAATATAGTCCGGAATAATAGCGGTATATTTATATATTAAATTACTTATTCCCCTACAATTATTATTATATTATTAACCTTCTATTAATATTTCCCCCCCCGTATAGTAGAGTAATAGGTATAATAGACTAACCTTTATAAAATCTTATTACCGGGTAAGAATAATCCTTACTTTCGCGAAACGTACTAAGTACCCACTTGCACTACAGAGCTATATATACTATTCGCTATTTTACTATATATTAACCTCTACGCAAAAATAAACCTCCCTTCGTACTAGCAGGAGAAAAAAGGGCGCCCGAATTACTTAATCCGTAATTAAATACCTTTTTTTCGGTTCGAAATACTTCTAAAACGCTTTTATATATAAAATCCTACTCAAAACAATCTTATTCTCTAGGATAGAGTACGTAACTTCAACAAACACATTCAAAGAATCTATTTCAAACTACGGACCCTACTATAATATATCGCTATTAACGAGAAAATAGTAAAATATACTAATAAAAGTATAATAATGGTCTATATCCCTAATAAACTAATACCGCAGAGTATTAAAATCTAAATTACTATAGCCGGCGGCTACTTCTTTAACTAGAAGTAGTATAATAATATAATTAATATTATCGATTCGAATAAATATATATAATATTCTCTATTAAAATTTATTTAATAATTAACTAATTAAATATTTCAATAAAGCGAATTAATACCAACTCAAACAATAGTAGCAAAGCTAATAACTAAGTTACCCCACCCACCTCACCGGTTAATTTATTACATCTTTATTAATAACCTTTTTACTACTCTCGCTCTCGTACATTACCTTCGTACTAAGAATATCGCAGTTACTAGCACAATACGCTCTAACCGCACAATACCGCAATTCGCCAAACTTCGAAAAATCAACAATAAAAAAGAAAAGGTACCCTTTAAGGCGCTATATCGGACGGTATTAAATATACCAATTCCTAATTCTAAAAAAGGTAAATAACCGCCGCCAAATAAAAATTAAAAGACTAAAACAATATACCTCTATATAAAAGATCGCTAAAGAATAAATTTTTTATCTACATAGTATATTAGAGATAAAGTATATAAATATACTTACCGCCACTATCCTATATACAAAGGCGCTATAAGAAACTACTTTAGTAATAAGGGTTATAAACAAATCTAAATACTACTAATTATATAAATATATAATAACTATATAAATAAGGTAAATGTAAGTAACTAATTATATACGTACAATATATATAACTATTATTACCATCGTAGATTATTTATAGTACTATTTACTAATTTCTATTTAAATATATTATTTATATTAAATTTCTTACTAAACGCCATACTAATAATATATCACTATTATACAAAAATCATTATAGCCAACCTCTTTCTTAACTAGAAGGAAAAGCCGTTTAATACTCCCTTCAACTAGAAGTAATAAACTGTTAGGAACGTAGGCTAAAGGTAGGCTGAAGTGACTACGGTCGTAGCTATACGTAGGGGATGGTAAGTTAGGGGTTAATTTAAAAATATATTAATAATTACTAATTATAATAAACTATACTCTATTAAACCTCTTTTATACCTATATAAATTCTATTTATCTACTAACGAATATTATAGAGCCCCATACTAATCTAATACTTCAACGCAATACCGGATTATCCTTCCTACGAATCCGACCCAATATAAGCGTTATTGTTAATAATCCTATATATTAGTTAATAAAAGGGAGTAATAACCGTTAAGGTACTTCCGTATACGAATTCTAAGCTTCCTAATATAATCCCCCCCCTTATAAATTCTATTTTCAGAACTTTTACAATTCGTAATAAATCCTAATCAAATAGTAAAGGGTATTAATATTATACTATTATAATATTATTGGGCTATATTATTAATAAAGGTATAATATTTTCGCCCTTTAATTTGGACGAACTATTACTTATAATAACCGCCAACGCTATATCTTAAATATTATAACCGCTTTACTACCGGCGAACCGCCGCTAAAATATTAATTTTATAATATCCCCTCTCCTAAATTCCAAATATAGACACAAAGCCGCCCGCTAGAATATCGGTATTATAATATCTATTCTCCCGAACTCCAAATACGGATACGAAACCGGCCGCTAAAATATTAATATTATAATATCTATTCTTATAAGCCCCTAAGACGGCGAACCGCCTGCTAGAACATTAATATTATAATATCTATTCTTACAAATTCCAAATATAGATATAAAGCCGACTACTAGAATATTAGTATTGTAATATCCATTCTCATAAGCTCCAAATACAGTAAACCGCCCACTAGAACATCAGTATTATAATATCCATTCTTATAAGCTCCAAATATAAATACGAAGCTACCCGCTAGAATATCGGCATTATAATATCCATTCTTATAAATTCTAACACAGATATAAAGCCGGTATTAAATTCAAAGTACTAGCGTACTACCCATTAGAATATCGGTATTATAATATCTATTCTTATAAATTCCAATATAAATATAAAACCAATATTAAATTTAAAACGCTAGTATACCGCCCGCTAGAATATTAACATTATAATATCCATTTTTATAAATTCCAACGTAGATATAAAACTAGTACTAGATTTAAAGCGCTAGCGTACCGCCTACTAAAATATCGGTATTATAATATCCATTCTTATAAATTCCAATATAAATACAAAACTAATATTAAATTTAAAAAATTAACTAAGTTCCCGACCATTACTAAAACCGTCATTCCGCAGGCGTATAAAGTAATAAACCTCATTTTACCTACCAAAAAATACTACACCGAACTTAAAAATATTAATAAATAATTATAACCTACTATAATACTTAAATACAATCCCCCTCCCTATAGGTTCTATCCTCGGGACCTTTATTTCCTTCCTCCGCCTCCTAACTTTATATACTATTTTTTCTACGAACCTCCCTTATTTATATTATTCCTTCTTAATCGCCCTTTTATTACCTTTATTTTATTCTTTATATTACTCCCTCTATTTTAATAATATAATTCCTAATTACTTTCCCCTACTTTCCTTATTACTATCCGAATTATATACTTTCCTATTTTCCGCCTTTCTCTCCTACCTTCTTATAATTACCCTACTACCTATTTATCCTATCCTTCCCCTTCTAACTATTACCTTCGTCTTATTCTTCTATTTACTCCCTCCTACTACTTATATAACTACCTAACATTCTATTTACCCTATATTATTTTATATTCGTCCACTTTAAATTATATTTACTTACTTTAATTTATATTCGTATAGGGACCTCCTCCCTTATTTATATAATATCCCTTCTACCTACCCTCTTCGCCTCTTTTCTTTTTTTCCTCCCAACTTCACTTTTATAATTATATCCGCTACCTCCTCCCTTAGCTTTATAACCACTTCACTTACCCCCTTATTTAAACTACCCCCTACTATAAATATACGTATCTTTATTATATATTTATATACTAATCCCTATCTCCCCTATAAATTTAATTAATATATTCGCTTATTTTCCCTATTTTCTTCCTTCTTATTCCATCCTCTCCTTCCTCTTACTTTACGCCTATAACTAACCTTTAATTAACTATTCCTTTCCTATCCTCTAATAATATTTATCCCTTTACTTATTTAGAATATAATATCGCTTTAATTTAAACATTTACTAGTACCCTAACCTTAAATTTATACAAAGTATTCCATCTAATTAGTACACACACTTACCAAATTAAAAGTACGCTATCTTCTTCTTATTACCTCTCCTATTTTTTTTTTTTTTTTTTTTTTTTTTTTTTTTTTTACTAACGTCTTCTCCTTCTAGAATTCAACGAGAAATCGCAGTATTCGCTATTACTACGCCGCTACATACTCGAGGTCCCCCGTAATATTTATAACTTCTAGAATAATATATAAAATATAATAGCCGAAATTATATACTTTACCGATACTAGTAGCCCCCTACCTACCCCCCTCTTATAACAATTATATTAGTCCACAACAATATTTTAAACTACAATATAAACGTGCTTTATTAATAATAATCTCCCTACAACGTTACTTAATATATTCCGAATTAAAA